CATCGCCTTGGCAGCTCCTGACTATTCTATCCACGTACAACACAAACGGGATAGGGGACAGGACGCAGCCTTGGCGGAGTCCAGTGCGAAGACTCTATTCTCTTCCAGGTAAAAGCGGCCTCAATTGATACAGTGATGAAAAAAGGAGGTTAACCTTGTTTATGTTGTAAATTGGTTTAGAATACACCATTTACTCCAGCTAAGGAGCTTCTCGCATGAGGGCGGAAACACGGAGGACGTTGAACAGGAGTTCAGCGCAACATGGAGTAACAAAGTACAGTCAGATTTGCTTTCGGAAAGAAGTATTTCTTTCTACCAAGATTCTTGAAAAGCTGTGAACTGCGAAAACAGCAGAATTAACGCAGAGGCGTTCTGTTTATGCAAACGTATCATGATAATGATCTGAACAAACTCTGGCTGCTAGCAACGAACGACTAGTTGTAGCTGTAAAATAAATCAATAAAGGGAAAACAATGCCGCCATAGAAACTATGCATGGTGCTGCAGTGACGGCGAGGAAAACAAACGTGGCGGCTTCTATCTCACGATTAGTATAGGTTACTCGTAAGCGTGGAGACCTCAGAGCCAACAATGTTCACTAATTAAACGATGACGCGGCATTGTTTGCCTACTCATTCATGTGCTCCCACAGAAGCTTACAGATGATACATGAGTTCCCAGATGGCTGATTATCAGCTATGACGCTGCCATACAGCGCCACGGCACTCAAAGGGCAATGTGTAGATGTTACTCATTATTTCTAGTCTGAGGTGTGTCGAGTGTTTTCCTCACGGCCAATTTCATGTACATCATGGATGAAGTCAGTCTCAATTTTCGTAGCTAATCAGCCTGTCACATCAGCTGGGAAGCTTTTTGTCATGAATTTCTGTCTACTATTGAATGTTCGTCTTTCAAAGGCAGTGTTAAGTTCTTTGCGACAAGCGGAAAATGCGAACCTAAGCTTAAGGTTAAGCCTGTGACGCATTTTATAGCATGAATTTACTGAAATGCCCTATATCAGTGGTCACCGTGCGGCACTCTACATTTGAGTTTTCTGCAGTAACGAAATGGAGTTAGACGTTACCTCACTGGTATGAGGCCGTGTGGCGCAAGGTAACATTATAAATATAGCTCTAGTCAAAGAAACTGAACTCCAGCCAATCCGCTTTACATCACGGCATGCGAATGCAATTAACTTATTGCCGAAAATTTCAGATTAGCGGTGGACAGCAGGTACTCGAATTGCATTTGCTTATTCGTGGTAGGATGTGCAAAATTATATTCGTCGTCATCTTCCTTGACCGCTTCTCCTTTCGGGTCGCGGAGGCAGACGCGTCAGACAGTGCTTCCAACGTTCCCGATGTTACCCAAAAGGTAGTGTACCCATTGCCAAGGGTGGATGACGTTCTTGACCGACTAACACATTCGCGGTACTTTTCAACATGAGATCTTTCCTTGCAGATACTGGCAAGTAGAAATTTC